TTTTCCGTTTTTGTGTTTTCTCGTACATAAAAGGAAAAACGATAAAACGGAAGTCGATTTTTGTTTTTCGTTTTTTGTGTTTCTTCTTTCGAAAAAACAAAAAACGATAAAACGGAAGTCAAATTTTGTTTATCTTTTTGTGGAAAAAGATAGCATAAAACAGTAAAAAGAAGATATTGGGTAATTTTTGTTATGGAGAGATAAGATTTATGGATTCAAGAAAAGAAACAAGGACTTCTGGAATTTTGGCAATTTTTTGAGATTTTACCACTATTTTTAAGTGCAAAAATTCTTTGGCGCCGTCATATTATAAAATTTCGATAAAAAGGGTGCTTTAAAGCAAAAGCAATTTAGACACTTGTAACATTGTAAACGAATCCATCGAAAAAGATGTCAATTTCATATCTTTCTGTTTGCTCAACATTGGACAGAAAATTTAAAAAAAGGGTTGGCCGAACCGTGCACGGACCGTCCTGCTCTTAATACACCCGGAAATTTAGACCTGTTTTCAAGACGAACAGGTTCCGTAATAGTTTTATTACGTCCAACGCTCTCAAAGCTTAAGCTGTGTTCCCGATCTATAGTTTCGGAAGTTTCGATTATCATGTCGATTTCAATTTTTTTATTATTTTTTAACAATGACAATTTTACTGTAGTGTATTCATGTATTGCTTCTACTATTCGTTTTTATCGTTTTTCTTTTACTTTATAATTAGCTTATTAGTGGTAGTATTTTTAAGTAATCATAATTGTTTGTAAATAATCGCCTAATTCAACCCTCTCGGTTGCGATGTGATTATAAATAAACTATCTATCTACCTACCTACCTACCTACCTACCTACCTACCTACCTACCTACCTACCTACCTACCTACCTAACTAACTAATTACCTACCTACCTACCCATCTATCTATCTATAGTAGTATAGTAAAGCTATCTTTCAAAATCAATTATTCAATCAATTCACCAAATACAAATCACCTATATATCTAATCATATCTATTCATATCTAATCATACCAATTCATATCTAATCCTATCTAATCACCAATATATTTAAATCATCATAATCCCCATGAATAAAAGTCTTTTTGAAAATCAATCCTATTTAATCCTATCTAATCATATCTAATCACCCATTATGTTTAATAATCTATATATCTAATCATATCTAATCACCCAATATACTTGATAATCTTTATATCTATTCATATCTATTCATATCTAATCACCAATATATTTAAATAATTTATCATACATATAACAAAAAAAAAGATATGGATAATATAGATATATGACTATTTTGATTGAATATGATTGGATATGATTAGCTATGATTGATTTTGAAAGAGAGTTTTACTATACTACTATCTATCCATTGCTTACTATAAATTGGGTTTAAAGCAAATCAGTGAACCTCTCGTCTCTAGATCTGGTTATAAATAACTAGATCAAAAAAAATTATTTTACTTTAGTGCATGGAATGGACCAAACTGGAGGCGTCTCAAACAAACTTTTGTTGAACACTTACAATTACAGTCAGCTCTTTCTAAGACTGACATCATTGCCGAGATTGGAACCGGCAATAGCGTCCTTCTTAGAGAGAAACTAAAGAGGGAGTCCGATGAAGGGAGTAAAGGAGGTTCCGTTTTCCCGATGCGATTTGGTTCCTCACATGTTTAAATGATCGTGCGCCAATAAAAACGATGAACTGTGAAAGGCTTGGACCCACGAGTCATTTCAAAATTAGGTTGAGTTTAATCGTACGGGTGAACGTAGTCCTGAATAGGACTGTTGTTGTTGACACTGACTGACGTTTCAACAACCTGTGCGGTAGTCATCTTCAGAGTCAAAGTGAGTTGAATCACGTCAGTTGATGGTATTATACTCTGGTTATTGAACTGATTGGTCAATTACGTCGCGATGTTATTGGTCGCCTGTCAGTTGAGCCGTGATATTATTGGCTATGAAGACTCGTAATCAGTAATTGGTGCGTTTCGATCCGTCTATTGTCACAGTTAAACAGTTGTCTATTTGTTAGTCAAATTGTCAGTTCTACAGTCGTTCTCTCGTACTTAGTTTTGCTTGATCTGGTTAATAAGTCCTTTGTACGGCGCTGGTAAATGTTGGCTACGATTCAGTGGCGTTTGTTCTAAGGTAGTAAACCAGCTTTCTAAAGTAAGACGTTGATAGTAGTCTGTAGAATACGTTGTACATGTCGCAGAGTCCTAGTCAATTTGATGTTTCGTCTTTAAATGGTGCTCAGCAATGTGAAAGGTGACGTCACCATTCCTCGTTGCTCGTTTGTATTCGGTCGCCGTACACAAAGAGGGAATCGGCGATTTTCACGAACCCCTTAACAGACAGAACGCGGACCTAGACAAGACCAAGTTGTTACTATTTGGAGTGAGACAAATCCTGTCCAAAATGCGTTGGCCAAGAGCTAACACCTGTATCATTTGCCAAGGACATAGTGAAAACTGCGATAAGCGTGTAAGTCTCTTGGCCTTTAATAACAACACCACAAAACCAAATTCGAATGAAGATTTATTGTAGCCGACGTGCTGGGTACTAAGAGTGTGCATACAAACAGCGTGGGTTGAAACTAAAACGGTAAAAGAGCAAAAAAGTTACAAGTTGCGACTAAGGTAAATTAAAGTAAGGAAATAACAAAACTGCAAAACGAGGACTGTGAAGTACACTTACATTGTTTCGGCCAGAGAAAAATGCTGTAAAGCGGACTGCGAATAACGCGAAGAGACTTACAAGAAACTAAACAGAACTGCGCTAAGCGCGGACCAAAATGAACTGCACAAACTGTACTGCAAAACTACGATATGAAAAATACGCTAGAACATGCGGAAAATAAAACTATAGAAACTTAGAAAGGCGCTAATGAAGATGAAACAGCAAAGAAACGCTAACGTCAAAAAAAAAGACTAAACAAAAGGACGAAAAGAAGTATAAACTAATTTGCGTACGCAAAGGAAAAACAAATTACGCAAGAACGAATAATAGAAAAAATGTTACACTTGGATCTTACACATAGGAGTCATACTTGACTCAAACTTGAGTTTTAATGAACATGCGTCGTCACTTCACTCCTCCCTTTTATCAACCTACAGCAGCAAGACAACGTTCTATGGAATATCATTATATTGAAGGAATAATCTCTATTGCTACGAGGAACTCGCGCTCAATTTCACAGTTCATTAAGAGTGTGAAAAGACTGAAAAGAGAAGTGGAGCTTGGCTGTATAAAGTGATGATTTTAATGTGAATAAGTTACTTGTAATTTGTTTTGTAATAACAATTTAGTTAGATATATTTAGCAATTATTGAATGAGGCTGAGTAGGATGTAAAGATAACATCCTCCGAGATCAGCGTAATTCTTAACATCTTACGAAAGCAGAATTCAATAATTTTTATTATTGATTCAAATATTTTAAAGCTCTTAACAAGCTTACCTCCTCGTAGACTTTCCTCTAAATTTTGGCCTATTTTTCGGCTCAGTTTCAGAAAAGAAACACAGTTTTTTTTTCTAGTGGATACTCCTCAAAAAGTAGATAACATCCGTTCAGTATTAGTTAATAATTCAGCTTTTTCCTCTTCGGATAGCCATGAACGGCATGTTTTTTTAGTTCACTAATGAATAAACAGCTATTGTAGGCGCGGCGCTTGGAAACGACGTTGATCGATGGTTTATTGCCCAAGAAGCCTCGTTTCCATCGAATCAATGGTATATTGCTTGCATCTTCCAAATTTGATCAGCGCCGGTTGATTATGAAGAATTAAGAAAGTTTTACAACTCAGTTGTAAAAGGCAGTTAATGGAGGGTGACGCCCTCAATCAGCAACACGTAACGCAGTGTTATGCTATAGCCTTTATCAAATCTCGTAGAAGTTTACTCGTAGTGGGTAAAAGTGCAGGGTAGTACGTAAAATCACTTCTATAGCTGGGAAATTACTGATACAATAGCAATCCTTGTTTTTGTTGCAGTTGGGGTTAGTTTCTAATGTATCGCTCGCTTTGTATGGCTAGTAAAAATAATTTTCCTCATGCATATCTCGTGGAGCACTTTATGTGCACGTTCTATTCTGTAATACAGTATTTTTCATTGGCTTAGTTGGGATAGCACTCGGACTATAAAAGGCCTAGTAAAAGTCCTATGTCTCATTCCGAGCTGTATTGCTTAGTTGGAGTATTTCAACCGTCCTAAAGTTTTGTAATTCCCACCCTTCCCTCCCTTTGGAGGCTTTGTTGTTGTTCCTAATAAACACGGGCTCACCGCTTTCTTTCGCCTTCGGTTTAAGCCCCACGGTGACTTCCCCAAGCTTTGATTTTAACGCAAACTTTTATATTTGATTGTATTCCAGCACGTGCCGGCCGAGTCGGCTCGTAGTGCTGATAAGATGAAGTACCTAGAACAAAATATTTGCCTACACCGTTCCATTAAGTTGCCAATGCTGGCCAGAGGTTTCAACTCGTAGTGCCGAGGAGTGTTAGGTCGTATTAAGTTTGTTTCTGTTGGACCTACCTGAACTTGTCCGATCCGGCGCGCGTAAATTAGCGCCGGGGAGATAAGTAGGGCTTTATCACGCTATGGAAGTCGTCCACCACGCCGATCGCGGAGGGGTGTTCCCCCCATTACGCCGTATGTTTGTTGTCTTGTTTTATTACACTTTAATTGTAAAACCTAGCTAAAGGAAATGCGGCATTAACCGGGGAATTGGAGCCAATTAGCCTGTGAACAGGCCTTTGGTCGAGCGGGGAACTACGGAGAGGGAAAAGCGATATTTTTTCCCCAAACAGAGAGCCTGTTCACAGGTTAGAGCCAATCAGAGAATGCGGAATATTTTCCATGAATTATAAATTATACACATGATTATTTTTCTAATCGATGTAAATTAATTCCGAAAAGCCCTTTAGGAGAATCGACGAGTCGTCTGAATTGCGTTTTGATACCATTAAAATTGATCCTATCTCTTTTTCTTCTTTTAGACGCCCATAGAGCGTCTGGGGATCATGAAAAAGCAATCAAGGTCTGGAAAACAGAAACGTTACCAGTGTATAAAGATGAACTTGGTGACCACCCTTGGACAGCCTCACTCCTGCGATACATAGCCGGTTCGTACAGGTGCCTTGCGAAATCTGAATCTGCAGATTCTGGAATAGCTGATGAAGCTGAAATGTACAGCAAAGAGGCTCTGGAAATGCGATTCAGGTTGCTAGGAGAACATCAGGATACCGCTCGGTCCTATGTTGACCTTAGCGACATTTTGATCTTTAAACAAGATTTCAAGTCAGCTACAGAACAGCTTGAAGAGGCCATTGAAATCCAGAAAAAGGTTTTAGGTGAAGAACACGAGACCACGAAAAGAACATTAGAACAATTGAGGAAACTACAGTCCATGGTAGAATGAAAGATGCATCTTTTCTCACAGTACTAGTATACATAGACATAGACATACTTTATTTAGACACGGTTAAAACACCAGTAAAAGACGGTAATTAAAATCTAAAATACTGATTTACGTGTTTGCCGTGTTGGTGCCCGTTGATGAATATAAGTCGTTAATCCCCTTTTTAAACCTTGTAAAGGTTAACGGCTTCCGTAGATCGGATGGCAGTCCATTCCAAAGGACATTCCCTGAATACCCAAGACTTCGCTTACGATAGTCAGTCCTTGGTTTGGGTACATGCAAGATGTTCTCAGAGCGCCAGATATTGTAGTAAAAGCCACGAACAGAGAAGAACATATCTTGCATGTAGGGGGGCATTTGCTTGTTAAGCGTTATGAACATGACAACTGCCTTTTGTTTTGTTCGACTAATTGAAACCCTATCCTATCCAAGCATGTCTAGAAGAAGACCCGCACAAGCATCATACCCAGATTAATAATTATTAATTAATTATCCGTGCATCGGGCATTTGTACCTTTTGTAATTTAAGTGTTCAAAGTTTGGCTGAGACCATCCCAGACACTATAGCAGTACATAAAGTAAGGTTCAGTTAAGGCCTGATAGATTTTGTAGCCGAGTGTGTTTTGATGAATGTGTTGAGTTTTTACCTTTTTAAACAGAATGGTCTCACACGTTTCAAAGCGCCAATTCCCGAGAAGATTTTCTTTGAAATGTTATCAATATGCTTGGATCTAGAGAGGGTCTCGTCAATTGTTAGTCCAAGCGACTTTGAGGAGTCAACTCTTTTGATTTCCTTCCCTCGATTTCCTTGAATGGAAACCTCAGCTTGGGTTTGCAGCCTCTGACGGGAGCTAGTGATCATGAATTCAGATTTAGCGACATTTAGGCTAAGTTTGTTAGCTTTAAGCCAAGTGTAAACGTTGGCTAAATCGGTTTTGAGCATTATTTCAAGATCATAGTTCGTCGGGGCTGCAAAGCTGATACTGGTGTCATCCGCATACATTCGAGCGGTGCCGCTGTTAGGAGAGTTTGGCAAGTCATTTATGTATAATAGGAAAAGCAATGGATCAATTAGAGATCCTTTGGGGACGCCGCAAGTAATTGGACTAGCGGTTGATATATAGCCATTGTTGACTGCTAGAGTATAGGTAGGATGTGAACCAGCCGACAGAGTTTTGGTTGAGGGTATATTTCACCAATTTTCGGATAACAACTTCATGGTCAATAGTGTCAAAGGCTTTCTTTAAATCGAATAGAATCACCCCATTAAGGAGAACTTCGTCAATATTAACATTCCAGTTGTTTCTGGCTTCAAGCAGCGCAGTTAGAGTAATGTGCAACGACCTAAATCCAGACTTACATTTTGATAATACATAGTTTGTATTTACGTAATAGTATAATTGATCATAAACTGGTTTATCGTAAAATTTGGTAATACGCGGGATAACCGAGATAGAGCGTTCAGCTTACTACCATTCTTGAAAAGTGGGGACACACTTGCTTTCTTCCTATCATGTAAAAAAATTCCCGTCGAAAGTGATCGGTTGAATATAGCAGTAAGTGAGGGGGCAAGAGTGTCTCCGCCTATGTTAAGGAGCTTAGACGGAATTTTGTCAAGCCCCAGTAGCCTTGTTCGTGTCAATTTTTCTTAAAAGTTAAAGGACGTCATTAATGGTGATCTCACGGAAGCTGAAAGACCTGATAGTTTGCTCTACGTAGGTTAGCGGGTCTACATTTGAATTAAAAATTGTATTAGCTAGGTCTTTGCAGATTCTGGTAAAGTGAGAAGTAAAAGCCTCAGCGATATCAGATAAGGCCCTCAACACCCGTTCCCCTATCTAAACTGTCTAGTTGAGAGGGTTACTCTGGTTAGTTCCTTGATCAGTTGATATAGGACTACATAATATTTAGAAGATGATTAGTATTATGGTCAGTTGCCCCTGGCAACATGTCACAATTTATAGATAGATAGATAGATAGATAGATAGATAGATAGATAGATAGATAGATAGATAGATAGATAGATAGATAGATAGATAGATAGATAGATAACTTTATTTAAACACGGTTAAGGTTCCTTCAGCATGTACAAAAAAAAAAATCTAAGATCTATTATACCTAACTAAACTAACTCTGATTAAAAATATATTCATAAAATTTTAACTACCTAGCTATTTACAAATAAAAGCTGCTTTTCAAGGATGCCGTGTAAAACTGTATTAATGTATGATCTCTTTCAAAACTGTTGCGACACAGTTTGCGTTTAAAATCATGTAAAGAATCTACAGATCTTAAATCATGGGATAGGCTGTTCCACAGCTTAGCTCCGCTATAGGAGAAACTTTACTTTAAATAATTGGTACGGGGCAGTGGAAGGACTAATTTATTTTCAGTATTCCTCAATCGATAAGAAGTTATTTCGTCACGAGATACAAATTTAGATGTTAGATAGTCGGGAGTCATCCCATGTACGGTTTTATACATCATAATAGCCGTCGATACTTGTCTTTGGTGTTTAAGCTTACGCCAACCTAGTGCCAGGAACAAATCGTCCACATTACAATCAGAATTAGCGGACACTAGAATACGGGCTGCACGATTTTGGAGCCTCTGCAGCTTATCGGAAAGACCAATGCCGCAGTTGGTCCATACGACATTACAGTAATCAAAATGCGGTTGAACTAAACTGTGGTAAACATTAATTAATACATTAAAAGGAATAAGATGTCGTATTCTTTTAATTGCACCCAAGGCAGAAGCAATCTTTTTACAAATACTCTGTATGTGGCATTCCCAGCTTAAGTTTTGGTCAATATGCACTCCAAGAGATTTTGCCGTTGACACTTGCATCACGGGATGGTCGTTTATCATAAAAGAAGGAGTTTCAGAAAGCTTTGATAGCTTCTGCCTCGACCCAACTAACATAAACTCAGTTTTAGTCAAGTTAAGGGTCAGTTTGTTAGCCGATAGCCATATATACACCTTGTTTAAATCGTCGTTAACGCAGTCATTTATGAGTTTTAAATCTGCGCTGGCATAGGTTAGGCTGGTGTCATCGGCATACATTCTAGGTTGTGAAAAATGCAAGCAATTAGGTAGGTCATTAATATACAGTAAAAACAATAAAGGTCCAAGAATTGTTCCCTGGGGAACACCACATGTAACTAATTTTGGGTTTGACATTGAGCAATTAATTTGGCAAGTTTGGGTACGATTGTTTAAATACGAAGTAAACCATTCGTGACAGGAACCGCGTAATCCATAATATTGTAATTTCGTTAATAAGATATGATGATCAACTGTGTCGAAAGCCTTTTTTAAGTCTAAGAAGACAACGGCATTGACAAGGCCACGATCAACGTTCACTGCCCAGCTATCGGTAGCTTCGAGTAATGCGGTTACAGTAGAATGTAAAGAACGAAAACCAGATTGGTAACGGGATAGAATACGATTCTCAGTAAGATAGTGATACAACTGGTCGTAGACTACCCGTTCAAATACTTTGGCCACGACTGGGATCACCGATATTGGTCGATAATTGGTGGGATCATTTCGTTTACCAGAATTTTTATACAATGGAGTAACCCTAGCCGACTTCCACTCATCGGGAAAAATTCCTGTCAACAGTGATTGATTAAATATTAAAGTAAGAGACTCGGCAATTAGATCAGGGCACTCCCTTAATAATTTAGCTGATATACTATCTAATCCAGTGGCCTTTGATTTACAAAGTTTTGAAAGGAGAGAATAAATATGAGCAGATGTTATTTCCTTGAAGACAAACTCCTTAGAAGTTCCACAAAGAAACTCTTTGTAGGTGGTATCAACATTCGAAACATTTCGACTAAGCCTTGGTCCAATCTCAATGAAGAAAGTGTTCAACAATTCAGTAACTTCTGCTTGATTGCTCGATTTTAGTCCCTGATATTGAATTTCATTTATTATTGTTTTATTAGATTTGCGGGAAGTCAATTCATTGATGGTCTTCCAGGTCTTACGTTGATCACCGGCATAATTATTAAAAGAATTATTATAATAGGCCCTTTTAGCAGCCTTGATTTCCTGATTTACTTTATTTTTGACCTTCCGGAATCGATTCCAAGAGGACGCATCCTTAGTTTTAACTCCTAAAAGCCCTTAACTCAAACTATAGCGAACTATAACGTTGAAAGTATCAGGCCATGAAGTAAATCAACTTGTCTTGACAGTTCTGAGTTCTTTCAGCACCAATAATTGCTTGAATAAACATGGATAACTACACAAGTCAACATCAGCGCTTATTGTACTGCAACATTACGCTGGCCTGGAGATAGTCTGCCAGAGCGCTGTCCTGCTGATCGCTAAATGCCGCTGAGAGTAGGGAGAAGGCTCGCTCAGCTGCAGCAGAGGAAGGCTGCACCAATAGAACCTGCTTCACTGCGGCTGATTTAATTTATTTCTGTAGAAAATACACCGTATTTACTAAATTTTATGAATTTATGCTCCAAAAAGTGCCAAAATTTGGGAATTATGCCGTGGCAGTGCTCGTTTAAAAAATTATGCTTTTTTGCTCCAATTATACCAAAAATCCGCCAAGGCCTCAACCTCGTTCCCAGGGCTGGGAACGAGGTTGCCAAGGCCTACGTGAAAGTGGAAGTCCTAACCCTAAGCAGTATTTAAAAATAATTTCGTAAATATCAATTTGTTTCTTTGTTTTTTATTTCAATTGTATCTTAAGAGCTTAAAAATGAACAAGTAATCAACGCCCAAAATCAACATCAATCATTTTCCAAGGTGCATTAGAAACGAGAAACCTATTATAACTGATTATTTCCACAATTTTCAATATACTGAATAATCTTGATTTCTCTGGGCTACATAAGAGATAGAAATAAGGCGAAAACGAACCAACAAGATCTTCAGTTTTTAAAAAGGCCTACTCTGGACCTTCAATCGCCTAAAGTTGCCTAACGTCGCCCAAAATCGCCTTAAGTCGCCTTAGGTCACTTTAAATCATTAAA